CGCGCAGCTATGTTTGCCAGCTAAAAATGGTTATTTGTGATCGTGTAGACTCGGGTTTTGGTAACGAAAAGCAGTGGTTTTCGTCTTGAGCTCTGCCAACGGTTCTTGCTATCCATTTCTTTGTTCAGCCAACAGTGGGAGATACAAGCCAGGAAGAGGGAAATATTTGAAAATGATTATGTTCCAGGTCAGAAAACATTTAGATCTCATTTACACAGGCAACATTTAAACATTAGAAACTGCAGCATTTTGATGAGGTGCTCTCTTTAGTAAGAACCTCATTGCACCAAATTATAATAAGAATGTTCCCAAGCCTTTTAATAAGAAGATAGTTGCATTTTAATCTAACCATCTTCAAATAAAAGCTGGAATCATCATAACGAAGATGGATGCTATAGGACAAAATAGTGACTTGAAGCTTTTGAAAGATAACCTAAATAAGGCATTTAAGACACATGACAAACACACATCAGGATAAAACACCACCTACTTTGCCAGCACCTCCTTATCAGACACCTTCTAATGATAACAAGGGGGAACTCTACATACATCAATAAGCATTTATCACACAATCACGTTGTAAGTGGTGCAGAGCACAACAGAAAGGCCTACACACTTGCAAAGGCTGCATACCTGGAACATTAATATGTTTTAATTCACCGGGATGTGCTAGTTGAGCTCCATAGCTCCATAGTAATAGCATGCAGAACTGTGCAGAGTGGTGCTGACCCTCTGGGATCATAGGCCACGGATATTAGCTAAACAGCAGCGTTCATATCGGCAAACATGTAGCAGAAATGGAGTATATCATTACAGGCATGCTTTTAGTCCCACCAGAGAAGAATTGCACGGGAGCCTGCGCGAGGAACAAGGCGTACTTGGCATGCTTGAGGCATGCACATCTAAAAAACCTATTTTCCATTCGTAAAACAGTTTCCTCGCACATTTGATCTAATTTAGGTGAGAGGGGGAGTGGGCTTTTGGCTCAGGAGGCTATAGTAAAACTTTGTTGTGTGTGTGTTTGGAAAATTAGGCTGGTCTCATAATGATAAAAGCGCAGGTCACAGCTGAGCCTGTCCAACTTGGAATTTATTACAAGCCCCAGTCGAAGCGGCGGGGGGAAATGCTTTGGGCAGGTAAGACCTTCAAGAGGTCCGTGTACACAAATGACAGGTTGCAACTCCCATGCCCCCCCCCCCCTCCCTCTTCCCTGTTCATCTCCCACATTGTGTTTGCTGCTAATTCCAACCCTCAGCTGCCACTACAAAGCTAGATGTGAGCGCTTAAACTGCAGGCTGCACCGGAGCATGAGGCGTTGCAGAAAGTCGGGTCGGTGGTTTCAAGGACGTTTGGGGCTGATGAGGATTTGGTTTTAATGGGGGGGTGGGGGGGGGGATGTGGTGGTTGTGTTGGGAGGGTGGCTTGGGCCCCGGGCCATGACGTCATTGTGCGCCCATGTAATCCTCTTGCGCCGAAGCCCAATCAGCAGAGACTCGCAATTGTCTAGGATGGGAAGAGAGGGGCGCTCTAATCTGGGAGACAGAGGATCACACAGCCCGCAAAAAGAGGAGAGCGAGAGAGAAGGGGGGCATGCATCCTGGGCTGGATTCTGCTTGAAATGGGTCAGATTAAAAAAAGACACGAAACCGAATGGAACCGGTTGACTCTCCGTGAAGAAAAAGGACGTTATGGTATAGACGAAGGAGCCGTTCGCCCACCTCACGGAGAAAAAAAAAAACCAGCCTCCGGACTGCAGCAGCTGTAGGGACGGGCTCGAGTTCTGTAGTGCCACTTTGGGTTTTTGAAGAAACGCACTAGCTTAACGTAAAAAAAACTAGCCTTCTGTAGTGTCCGCAGCATGTGAAGATATAGGAGGCATCGCGCGTTTTTATCCGAGGGCGTTGATCGTGGACAAGTCGAGGAACTGCATTCAAGACAAGTTAAATGGAACATACAGTGCTCTTCGCGATGGGGATGTATGACTTCAGACAAATAGGCTTGTGAAGCTCTGACATCGTTACTTTCTTTTCTCTGTCACTTTTGTCTGTGCGTTTTGGATCAGGCTCTCGTAGTAAATTGAGCGTTTTTTGGGGGGGAAAAGGACGAAGCCGGAGGATGCGTAGTTTGAGCTGTCCCTCTGTGCCAGGAGATGCGTAAAGACGCCCGACCTCCGAATCAGAGATTAGAGCGTTTGCAGGTGGCAAGCTCGGGTCTTTTTTTGCCAGGTACAGGCTTTGCTCTGCTCGTTTAAACCCGAGCTGTACTGTGATGGTGTTCGGTGCCAAACTGTGGCGCAGTGGTATCAATAATCTTTTTTTTTTTTATCCTTAGAGGCGCGGGAGACAAATGTGGCGGGTGCCGTTATTGCTGATGTAGGCTATAAATCGGCTTTAGATTTGAGTCTCCAATTGAATGCGAGGCTGCGTGCGTGCATGATTGTGTTGCAAATCGGCTTTGGTTTTGGTGTGCGTGTGTGTGTGTGCGCGTCCTGGAGCGCGCACGGAAACGGGAGCTGTACTTAAATCGCGTGCTTGCAGTCTTAACGTCCTCCTTGGCGGAAGCTGCTCGCGGCTCGTGCGCGTGGAAGTCAGACGGGGTTACAATCTGCTCGTTGGGCTATCATCCTGCTTTCATCAGCAGGGTGAGAAGGCGACTTCCAAAAGGGTTGTCACTCTGCGTGTTCACAGCGGACCTTGATTTAATGTCCATACAATTAAGGCACGCGGTGAATGCCAAGAGAGGAATCTACACAGCATCACGCTTCGCACTTTATTCTCTTGCAATTTCGTCAAGCCACGGGCTTTTAGGTGACCCTTAAAGCCAGAGAACGAAGGCCTTGATGGGCAGTCTGCAGCATAAAGCCTACTGTTGTTCTGTCACTCAGGTCTGCTCGTGTGTGCGCGGACGCAGAAGAAAGTCTGGGTTCTGCCTCCCAGTGAGTGTGCGCCTTTCTGGGATTGGATGGACGCAATGCGTAAGTGTAACGAGCCATTGTGGTATGAAAAGACTCAAGTCCAGTTCACCTTATCCCGGTCACAAATGCTGAATTTAAATGACAGTTTTGAAGCTGAATGTATGAAGGAGAAAACAACCAGACGCCTGCTCAGCGGGATTGGCGGCTCATCAATCTCAGTGGATGCTCATTACCGTGTTAGACTTCAGGAGGATTCTGTGAGACCTATTCCTTAAACTACGCGTAAATGTCTTTCTGTTTGCAGGTGTAACGCAAAACAGAAATAAAAAATGACTTAGTGATCGATAATATAGAGCTAAATGATAGACTATTATTGTATAATAGTAATAAAGGAATACAGACAAAATTACTAAGTGCAGGGAAACAACGAAAAGGGATAACGGCTTTGATGAACATACTGTTTAAAGCAAAACCATAGGCTTAAAACTGAAAATTTTCAGGCAAAATGGTCCGAAAATTGAGCCAAAAAATTGGAACATTGATATGGCTCGGAGCCTGCATGTGCGGTCTGCCTCCGCCTTTGTGAAGATTCTACTTAATGTAAAGCCACCAACGTTGGATGTGACACATCGCGTCATATAGCTAAGTAGGCCAGCGGAGCCTGCTCACCACACCTTCCCTGTGTGCTTCAAACCTCAGGCCTACAGAAGAGCCGGAGAGCTCTGATGAGATGCAAACTGACAACGGCCGCAGTGTTTATTCTGCCGGAGTGGACATTTAGAACTCTTGGGGGTTTAATGCCACCTACAGGCGTCCTTCTAAAAGCGCAGTGTCCAAGCTGTGGACCACCGGGGACCACAGCGCTGAATACTGAATTACATAATATAATTAATACTTTAAAAATAGTCCATTTTACTCATGCTCGGATTTTTTTTTACCAGGTTTACATAAACCTATGGGCCGAAGCCTGGGATTATATCATGATATACTGCTTGAGGATATTATCCTTCCTATTTTTCTTTGGATAAACTACAGAAAATGGTTATAAAACCCAACTTAAGGTTATCAGAGTCGGTTTAAAATACGTATTTAGGTGTAGGTCCAAAGGATCAACCGAATACCAACAGAGTGTATCATTAGTTAAAGAGTGACAGCACTTGCCAAACTTAATCTTTGTGTTTTTTCCAAATGCCTAATATATCTCACAAACATACTTATTTGAAAACAGCTTATATTTTAATATAGCACATATTCAAGAGGATTTTGTATTGACTGTATCATTCAAAACTATACATCCAATTTGTGCGAGTGCCTGTGCTACACTAACTCTATCTACATGAACACTGTATGTCCTGTCCCAATTGCCAATCTTCTTTTGTAATTTTACATGAAATAGAATAAAGTCTGAGCTTCAATAATGTTTCCTGTATTTGTGGTTATTTTCCTATTTGCTTTTCTCCGTGCGCCATTCCAGCAGCACATTGTATGACTGTACCTGACGGATCATTAATACTCTACCACACATTTGTGCCCGACCCCTTACTTGTGTATCCTTAGATAACCAGCACAAAGTCTCTTGTGGACCATTTCAAACAAAATAAAAATTAATAAATGAAAATGTGTAGGATACAAAATATGGAAGTGAAAGTCTTCCCCTTTACCCTGCTTTAAACAATAATGATACCTGCAGATTTTCACTGGAGGTACTTTTATTCACCTCATTTTTGTGTCCACACAGCTCTTCCTCCAGATCAGGATTTCAGCACCACGGAGAGTTCCTGTCAAAGAAAGTACAGGGAGTCTATTGAGAATAAAGTATGATCTAAAATCCAAAACAACCAAAACTTCTAAAAATGTCAGGGGTCAATTTACGTGTATAAAGACTGCATTAAGAAAGAAAAACAATCATAATTGGCAAATAGACTCAAATGTAAAGGTTTGGTATTCATTTTAAAAACAACTTGACAGATCTTTAATCCTGACAACAGCTAGCACTCACATTCATGCGCTACCGACCACTTGATTCTTTAACAATTGAGTACATACAGACAGCAAGATCTGAAATAAGGGCAAAAATAAGGGAAACGTTTTTCAAAATTTCCACTGACTTTGCAGCACCAGAGCGGCCCTGCAGAGATGTCTCCCTCCCACCAAGAGTACACCGACGCTTCTAAAGGAACTCGGAGAGAATTCATGAAATCAAGACAAAGTCATTTCTGAATGGACAGTTTATTAAGGCTTGATTTCTTCTATAAAGAAAAACCAATATAGATACTTTGAACAAGGTACGTCCACTACAGCTGTGGCCTATAAGATCATCCTTTCAGTATATCATTTCAGATCCTTTTGCGGTGTCAACTTTCATGGCTGACCTGATATCCGTCTTGCAGCAAAAGAAAAACAAAGAGAAAGAAAAAAACAAACAAACAGTTATGATTAACGTGCAGATAAGCCCTGTGCTAAAATCACAACCACTTCATGCTTCCTGAGGCAAAAAAAAAAAAATGGCTGTGGCTGCGACAGTCTTCAGTGACATCTTTCAGCTTCTGGCCTCCGCCGGACTCCGCGCTGCACCTGCGGAGGGCGGTGAAGGCAAACGCGAGCGGCGTCCACAGTATTGCTTGGATGAGCCCATCTACTGGTTAGTGCAGGTTAAAAGCAGGGGATGAAGAAGCGAGGCTACTTTAGAGGCCGGCTCTCTCCGTTACAGGGACCAGGTAAGAACGTGACGCGGCTTCGCACATCTGGAAATGCTCCTGTAAGGCGTACAGCTCATACTCGAGTGTTGTCAGCAAAGTGCAGCGTTTATGCCCCTTCTCCACAACCCACGGGTAAAGACAGATCATGTAATAAACATCTAGCCCTGGCCACATTACCTTAACACGTTTCAGTTCAAATATTTCAAACAAAGTGGTGAACTGGAATATAAAAACTGAATTTAGTTCATGTGAAGCCACAACAATTTTCAACTCGTACTCAATTACACAAATGAGACCCCTTAAAACAAAAAGGCATCCATATCTATTAGTAGCATTTTTCTATACTAAACACACATAATATCTACATAGTAACTTCAAAATAAACAGGAGGTGAGACGCCACTGATCCCAAATGCTGCAGTCAGGCTTTAGATGTTCAAAAATAAGTCAGACACCAACAGGGACACCCACAAGCAATGTCACCTTAAAAAAGAGCTGCAAGGAGGAGAGCAGTGTTATCATCTCCAGCAGTCGCTGTCGCACAGCTTGCCGCGAATGAGTAAAACATCACTTACTGATGGAAGTTTATCTTTTGTTTCCTCCTTTCAACAGACATCAGAACTTACCGCATTATAATCAACAGTTTCAGGCTAAACAAACTATAGGTGGAACAACCAAAAACACACACAGAAACCACATTTCATTCTTATTATTTTCTTACTTGATAGTAAATCAGTTACATTAATTTTTAGGTTATACATTTTAGGCTTTCTCCATGAATATATAGGCTCCTACGTTAAAGCTTAGCATTACGACCGACATGACAGACTTAGCAAAATCAAATTAAAGAAAAAAACAAGAGGATTAAGACAGAATGACGGTGAATGGACAAATATGTGAAACCTCCCTCCCCCTTTTTTATGGAACAAAAAAACCCAATACAATAAATCATTCAACTTAGCAGTTACATCATTACATTATTGTGACAAAGCAATTTAAAATGATGGATGCAACAATTCTCTCAGACTGGGTTGTGTGCACAAGCAGAATCTCCTGATGAAAAATACAAAAGACCCATTCAGGACAAACATTTAAAAAAACAAACCAAAAAAAACAAAGAGGGGTATGAAAGGTGTCAATAGTACAATTTTTGATTTAAATGGTGCGAGTTCTGGTTGTGGAGGATACATCCGTTATCACTTTCCCAGAAACCTTAGCAAATCCTCCCCTGAAATGTCTCGAGTCCCGTGTGACTTCACACTATCCCTGATTTCTCCAGCAGTGTCTGTTGAGCAGTTCTTTTGAGAAGTCAATAATTAGAAGAAAAAAAAAAAAAACTAAAACATTAAGGCTCCAGAAAACAGGTTTCTGAAATGAACATCGTCAGTAGTAGGCCAAAAAATAGAGATTTTGTTGATTCGAATGAAAAATAGATAAACCATTGAAGTTTTAGTATCACACAGTTCCAAGTCTGACATTGCCTTTAGGATCCTCCAACCCTGTTGGCACAGTTAAATCTACGAAGCATGGCAATGTTGCCCCCGAATGGACAAAGAGGGGCAGGACACATCTGTTCCTGATTGTACTGAAATATAAAGTGGCAGATTTTGTTTTTCTCCATTTTGCAGTCAAACCCTGATTCAATTGAAAAGAGGAGGAGATGGGGGCAAGAGAGAGAAAACCAGTCTGGGTAGAGAAGAGTATGTGATGGATTGGGAAGAAAAGTATGTTAAAAAAAATCAAACAAAACTTTTAAAAAAACAACAAAAAAAAACAACCTGAAATACAGAGTGTGGTGGCCACTAGGTAATACATTTACTCAGCTTGTTATCCCTGCACAAGAATTGGTGGTGGATGGGGCGAAAAGCACAAGTCACAATGGCAGAGTTTCACCAGGATTAAATAGAAAACAAAATTGAAGGGCTTCGTTGCATTTTCATATTCTTCTGTCTTTGAATCAAGTCCTAGTGTAACTGTTGATCAAGCCAAGGATTATCATCTTCTACTGTTTATTCCTGTTTTGGCGCTCCTGTTTGGGGAAAAAAAAAAGAAAGAAGACACAATTCATCTTAGTAAATACTTAGAAAGGTATGATTTCCTTTTGAAACACAACAATAAAAATAATTACTCAGTACATATAAGAAATGGTATACTCTTTGGACAGTCAATGTCCAATCAGCAAAATATGAAAGCTGATTTACCTGATCCAACCGAGAGCGGTTCTGTATCTGAGGAGGTTCAAAGGTCTGTCAAAGGAACACATAAGAGACAGAAAAACAATTAGCCTCTAACAAACTAAATACAAAGCAGTAGTCCAACAGGCCAAAATTGTTAGCATCGAAATATCCACACATATCCACTGTTTTAATCACTGAGGACAATAATAAACACACCTTGCGCACCTCTTCCTCCTCTTCCTGCCTCTTCTCATAATGAGAGAAATCATCAAAGATGGAGGTGGTATGTTTATAGGTGGCAATGATCTTGAGCACTTGCTTGGCCTTCTCCAGAGGAACCTCTTGTGTGTCACGGGAGTTGGTCACTGGCTTGTTGTCGTTGTTCTCCAGGCGGATGTGGCGCAGCTGGCTATTAGGCACGTCCTTAACAAACAACCAGTCCACATCAAACTTGCCTTTCCACTTGTCCTGTGCCCAAACACCAGCACTGGTCCCATAGTCCACTGGTGAACGCATTTCTGCCACGCCACAGAAGTGGCCACTGCCGTTGACACTGAAAAGCAGGTATACAGGACCTTTCCCATTCATAGCCCGGAAAGCTGAGTCCAGCCGCTTGTTGCCGTGTTCCGTGCTGCACCAGATGGAGTATTTGATGGAACGATGAATATCATCCTCAGAGTAGCTCTTAATGATGAAAACACGACCATTCTTGAGGTTCCATTCAAAGTCCTTGGGGTTGTAGCTATGGGAGGCACGCAGCTTTTCCAGCACTGGGTGGGACTCCCCACCAGGCCCCTGGTTAGCAGACATTTGGGGGCCATTTTTCCCACCACCGACCATGCCCATTACGCCACTCCCATCATGGCCTGGGCCACTCTGCCCGTAACCTTGGTTGCGGTTGCGTGGTGCAACCCAACGGGTCTGGGGTTGTGGGGGCTGGGTGTGGTTTTGGTAGGGCTGAGGTGGTGGCTGGTGATGCTGGTGATGGGGGGGCTGGTGCTGTAAGGCCATAGGTTGCATCTGGGGCTGCACTAGAGACTGAGGAGGAGGCTGCATGGGGCCTTGAGGTGGCATGGCGTGAGGCAGGCCGAGAGGCTGTTGCTGCTGCTGCAGTGGGGCTGTGGCTACTTTAGTCACCGGGCCCTTATCCCAGGTCCCAATGTTCATGTTGTGTTTGATGGGGGGTGGGGGAAGAGCTCCCCCTGGATTGGGCATCCCTGGCTTCACCTTAGTTTTCAACTGCTGAGGTTTGGCAGGCTTGCTGGCAATGGCTGCCCAGGAGGTGGGTTTAGGCGGAGGCATGCCTATGGGTGTGGCTCCATTCCCTGTGGCTGCTACTGCTGGTCCACCAATCACAGATCCTACTGCCTTGACTCCAGAACCCTGACCAGGGACGTCTCCTCCGATCTTCAACCCAACCATTCCCTGCTCCAGGCTGTTCATACCAGGGGCTTTGTTGAGGGTGTCATTATGAAAGCCCGTCTGACCATCAGGCACCAGAGTGCCTCCCAGAGAGCTGGGAGGATAGCTATAGCTGCCACCATAAGCTGAACTTTGAGTCTGCTGGCCCTGGGAGCCACTTGTTCCCCAAGCAGAGAAGGCAGGATTTTCAGGGAAAAAGTTAAACCTGTGTGGGTAGATACTGCTTCCCAGACCCCCTGGTTGGCCAAACACAGTGTCTGGCATGAAGTGATGGTCTCCATTACTCAAAGGTCCATAGGGCGTGAGGTAAGGAATAGGAGGGTCTCCACCTGTGGACCAGGGAGCTTCACTTAGGGGGTATGGAAAGCCAATGGAAGGAGCATAATAGCTGGACAGGTAAGGATCGGTGATGGACTGGTAGCTGTTGTTCTGGATGAAGATGTAGACACAAAAATAAAAGCAATTTGGTTAAAAACTAAACAGTGAATATAAAACCATGTTTTTTTCTAATTTCACTTCATGAGGCTTTACATAGTCCAATGCTTAATATATTATGGACAACAGTGCATAGCATCCTCTGGCATCACATAGCAGACAACATCCTTTGAAACAATGCTGGTAAAGATAGAGATTAGACTTTACCTGAGTTGATTGACCAGTGAGGTATGGCTCAAAGTCATTGTCATGGACAGTCTCCTTCTGATGAAGCGAACCATTTTGCACTGCACAGATCACAAAAATTAAACAGAAGAGCATTTTAATTTTATCATTTGGAGAAAAGGTTTATAGCTGTTTTGCTATGTGCTTATGGTGGGGTGCTCTTAAAGAATACTCCTTATTAAAAGGAAAATCCTGTGATGATTTAAAGCCATTAAAATATTTCTCTCATTACATTTCAGATTATTCTTATTTATTAGACCATTGTATACATGTATGTTACTGACAGAAGGATTATAACAGGACTCTAATCTCACAGCTCAGATTCTCCTGCTGAGCTCCGACTGTTCCTTTGTTTAAAGTGGCCTAAAAACAACAACACTCATGTTACACAGCAGTGTGGTCCTGTAGACTACCACTATTCTCTAGAGCAAATTGCCTGTGGCCTTCTGCCAAACAACCCAAAGGAGAAGAATGACTAAACATCCTCCTGTCACTCCACCTACCCCTACAACTGCGCTGCATCAAGGATGACACAAGGCTTTAACATCTTGACAAATGCTAATGTTGACACAAAAAGATGAACTATAGGTGAATCATCCTGTGCAACTAAGATAGCAACAGGACTGAGGAAACTGAAGCAAATTCAACTTTACTAGTGACACTCCACATATTTTGGAATCAGAAATATTCAATTTACAGAGTGGCTATTCTTTGCAGTGGTCTCTTTAAAAAGAAGAGAAGCAGCCGTTTTGTTTTCATTCATCAGGGCTATGATAAATTCTGTTCCAACGTTCAATGGGATATGACATTGTGACAATAAGTTGCACATGGAAAAGGAGGATTATGATACTGGTGAACTATTTTACCAAAAATCAAACAATATGAACAGCACCTTACACACTTTTATACTACTAAGGGTTTGATGCTCAAGAAAAATTGGATTGCAGCATCTCAAATGAGATTGCAGTAATATGTTAGGTTCCCTTCATATCACTGCATAGAAATGAAAAAAATATCTGAAAATTACTGAGACTGTACATTACAATCTTAACTTAAATATAAGATATTTTCATATATAAAATCTGAAAATAAAGAAGCCACTATAGGCTGTCCAAATTGTGAAAATTACATCACAACAGTAAATGATAGTGCTCTTCATAAATGTGCACCAAAATCCAACATATCTTAAATTATGTTTTTCTCATGGTATGTGCAACAGTTTTATCACTCCAACACCTACCTTTAGATGCTTGTCCCTTTGATCTCTGCATTCATGTTGCCAAAAGAAAGAGAAAGATAAGGTTACTAGCAGTCATTTCACATATTTTTTTTGATCAAGTGAAGACAACACTTCTACCTACTAACTGCATCTATCTAACTGAGGAGAGACATGGCAAACCGGTCATCAAACAAAGTGGATAAACGCTGACATTTGGCTAGTTCTGCTGCCGTCTATTTTCTTAATTGCATCATTTAAAGAGAAACTGATTTCAGTTAACCAGCCACTGCTAGCATTTATTCACGCACAACTTTGCTATCTTACATAGCTACCTTAAAACGGCCTTCTAAATGCTAGTTGTGTCTATACGGCAATAATCGGACTTCCCCACCACTAACGTCAAAACAATTGTGTCGGCAATGACACAACAACACATTTTTATAAAACTTACTATTCAGAATCAAAGTTAGTTCAAGTCTTTATCTAAATCTGTTTACGTTAACTAGCTTTAGTTTTCACGCACCGAACCATAGGATTGGACTTTTCCTGCGACAAACATTTTAAATCGCACAATATCTGTTACGGATGCGGTCGGCAATGCAATGCATTCGGAGGAACACGTGCCATTTTATGTAAAATTTCTTAAAAGCCTTTATCAATTTCACAGAATGTGGTCAACATTGCTAGCTAAATCCACCGGCCACAGCTAGTGGCTAACTAGCACTTCCGAGGAATAGCCTTAGCCCAATAAATCGTTAACGTTAGCTAGTAGCTAGCTTGCAAGCTCCCAATTTTCGAGGCGAGTCGTTCTTCCTACCTGAGGGTCAATACTTGTGGCAGACATAATTCATTAAGCAAGTCCCTGGATTCTCACGGAGCCTGAGCTTGAGACTGAATTTCACTCCCCGTGATTTGAAAGCAAGTTCACAGCTTAGTTGTAGTTAGCTATGTGGCTAGCAGTTGTAGCGCAGGCTCAGCTGAGTATTTTCCGCTGTGTGGACGTATCCCAACTTCCACAGTTCAAATCAGTCGCTTCGGATACTGTGTCCCCAAGCAGTTAAGTCCTTCTTGAGGTTTTCAGGGCTACAATGTGTCACCGAGTGGTGCCCTTAGTATCTCGAATATTTCTGTCTTCGGTTGTACTTAAGTCTTTTTTATTCCACAGATAGAACCCAGCCTCAGTTACGTTAAAGCCCTATACACTTCCCCAATGGCTGCTCCATCCGGGCTCTGAGACGCTGCTGTAGTTCACGTCGTTACCCGCCGGGTGGCAAAAGTTTTAATATCGTTGAACGAATGTTGAAAATGGATGCACAATATTTTACCAACGCACAAATGCGATAACGCCCCCTCGCAAAGACACATACGGTCAACAAACGTTCTATTACTCTAACCCCATCAGTATGATGACCCAGAGGCGCAAAACTCAGTCTGCTAAACATCTGAATCTAATCAACGTCAGAGGAAAAATCAAATGACCAAAGGAAAATATCGAATGAGATGCAACAAAGAATTGAAAACCTACAGTATATCAGAAAACACAATAAACTAATCATAGTTTTTTTTTTAAACAAAAGTATATTATACAAAGCGAATCAATAAACAAAATATTCAATAAACCAGGAAAAAAAGGTAATTAACAAATGATCTTTTAATCAAATTGTTACCCATGACTTCCTTGATCACCTTGGGAAGGTTTCCTCCACTCTGGGCTTTACCTTAAACCCTATTGCTATAAATATTGCTCAATTTTCACCACTAGATGGTACCGAAGCTACAAAAGAAAAAATAAATATCGAAATATACCAAAAAAGATTTATCATCCCATTTCTTTGTCATTTTCTGTGTTTCCTTGGCTTCTTTAGCTGGTTGTTTTTCATGATTTTAACATTGGTTGACATTAAATTTCATTGTATTACAGCCATTACTTAAAAAAGGCAAATTTCGTCAGACATCATATAAATGGAAAACAGTAAACAAAATCAAAATGAATCAATATCTTACTATTTTGTATAGTAAGTTGACATTATTAATTATTTTCAGAGCTTAGGCTATCAATATACTGAAGCTCAAGTGTCAACATCTCCCATATACATTTTATTCCTTGCTTTGTTTTTGGCTTTATATTTTTTATTGTGCCTAATATGATTTCCACTTCATCTGTATATCTTTTTAAGAGTCGTAAAGACTTAGTAGGTTATTTCATGCTTCAGAAATAACTAATTTTTTTCCCCTAGAGGTGGAGCAACATGACATGTTCAGGCTGTCATTCATTCAAGGGTCAATGAACATACATTCTAGCAGTTGAATGATTTTCTGGAAAGCAACCTCTTGTAGGCTGCTGTGCAGGCCCCCCACACCTGATTATATTATTTCAGCTGTTGTTCTGCACTCACCTTCAGTGTGGGCTCCACTATGGACCGCGAAACGGATGACTGCCACAGGACACAGATGGAGAGGAAAGCCTACATGCTGCAGTATGATGGATGACGATAGAAGCGCGCTGCACATCCTCAAGGAGCCTCAGATGAGAGGAGAGGGGGACAGACTTCGAACTTTTCAGAACTGGCCGGCAGATGCCCCTGTCATATCTGGAGACTTGGCCAAGGCAGGCTTTTTCTTTTTAGGTTCCAGAGACAAAGTTCAGTGTTTCTGCTGTGGAGGAATTCTCAGACACTGGATACGCGGGGACAGCCCGGCAGCTGAACATAAGCGGCATTTCCCTACTTGCAGTTTTATTCTGGGTCAAGCTGTTGGAAATATTCCACTCCAATCAGGCTCTTCAGACTCTGTGGATGGTCAACTCATAAGCCAGCTTCAGAGGATGACTATGGATGACCAGGGCACAGCTGGACAAGCAGTCTACCCGGAGATGGAAGCTGAGGCTTCGCGGCTCACCACTTTCCATAACTGGCCTACTGATGCCTCGGCCCAGCCGGAAGCTCTTGCCAGAGCAGGATTTTTCTACACAGGTTCTAATTGTCTGTCTGTAAAGATAAAAAATATTAATTTTAGGCTCAGCTCCTTTTTGTAATGGTTCTTTGCAGTTATTCTGTATCGATTAGCATGTTTGAGGGAAATATTCGGCGAACCAGGCACTACTAGAGTGGTCTCCACTATGACAGAGTGTTGATAACACAATTGTCCTGCTGAGTCATGTTGTTGTGGACAGAACAACCTGGACAAAGCTGGGCCTGTAAAAATGTATAGCCTCAGGCAATACACAGTGTGGCAACACTGTTAGGAAACATTTATTCTCTTAGTTCAAAAGTAATGTTTTATCTGTGACAGGCACTGTCAGAGAAAGTCTAGTTAATATTTATTATTGTTTTATTTATTGCTTTACCCTTATATAATACTTTCTTCTTTTCTCTGTAAAAAATGAACACAATTGCAGCTTTCAGATATTCTCTGTGTTAAAGTGTTTTAAAGCTGGGTCTATATCACGGCATCCTTTTCATATTAATGATTCATTCTATCACAGGTCATGGTGACAATGTCAAATGCTTCTTCTGTGATGGTGGGCTGAGGAACTGGGAGCCAGGCGATGACCCCTGGCAGGAACATGCCAAATGGTTTCCACGGTAACAACAGCAACTTTCACAAAAAACACTGCCTTATTGCAAAATTGAAAATTTCAAACATACATTATGGTGTGAAAGGGTTAATTGTGACTATGATGCAACATGTCATCATGAGTGCTTCTGAGATAAGAATCTCAGTTTTGAACCTTGATCTCAGAGGCATGGAGTTGTTTCCTAATCAGATTAATTTTAATACATTGTTAACTGACTGAGTTAAGAATACGAATATTGTCTGAAGTCCAGATAGTGTTTTTCATATACAGCATCTGTGATTGCATTACTTATCAACAAACTTATTAACCAACATTATTTTTAGTAGCATGTTTTTACTTTTGGATTTAGTGGTTTAAGAATTCCAGCATCTGTGCACATGTGCTGTTCATGCACTGTCAGTCTATGAAGCAAATTCTTCATATTTCTCAGATGTGAGTTTTTAATCCAGTCAAGAGGCGAAGAGTATATCAGCAACATACAAGATGTGCATTTCCATCTGGGTGACAGTGTGGTAAGAACCTTATCTCTCATATCTTATTAGGATCAGATCTATTTGGAATATTGAAGGCATTATAACCACAGATCAACAGATGTCAGTTTTTGCTGGTCTTAAATCTTTTCTGCTTTTCAAGGCAAATTAAAGCAAAAACTGTGCTTTTCTAGGGAGGATCACAGACTTCCACTGGCAGAGATATTGGTTCCAGAAACGGTATGTCAAATACAATGTTATCCTGGCAGAAATAGATCTTCATATTGCAGGGGCCTAAAAAAACATTTTCCTACTAGGCAGCCGTGAACAATTTTATAGAGGCTTTCCTCTTTGATGTCAGTAAATATCCTGCTATCGATGATGAAGAAACATGTTGAGTTGTGCTGGAGGTTGCACAAATTGAGAAAAATAATGCAAACCTGTGACTGAATTACTCTTTCCTTGATCAGGGAGAACAAATTACAAATTTGACGGATGAAAGCATACCTGGCATGAGCTCTACCTCAAACCTCAAATTATCCACTACGTAGATAGCCTACTCCTTGGAAGAAAACAGCTCAATTCCCTTTGTTTTTGAGGCTCCTGCAAATGTAATAACTTAATGTTCGATTACTTTAGTTGCTTCACAGCAAATGTAAGGACACTGGCAATGATCCTGCACAAAAAATGAGTAAAGGAAACACCATTTTCATCAATTTAGGCTGAAATCAAAAGTTTCCGATGTTAATATATTGACATATAAAATAATCTCCCACCTCTGGTCTCCTCTGTGTAGTGACTGGTGCTTGGAACTGTGTGACTCTTTTATCTTTCTCTTGTCTGTGTTTTTCTTATCCTCCAGATGTAGTCGGAGGTCTGGGAGCTTCATCGGCCATGCTGTCCCCTGTGGTTCAAACTGTGCTCCAGATGGGCTTTGAAGCCCCCCTGGTGGAGAGTCTGGTCCAGTCCAAGTACCTCCTGACCGGCCAGTACTACACATCTGTGTCTGACCTGGTAACCGATGTATTGCAAGCAGAGGAGGAGGACAGGCATCGGGGGCCAGACACAACAGGTAACAGCAAGCTCTTCAAATGAATGATTACTAAAATAGCAGGATTTAAACTTTTTGTTGTTGTTATCGTTGTGATATATATGTGCTCGGCCTAAGTGTTCTCCTCTTTTATACGTCTACTCCACAACAGTTCAGATTTGATAAAAATCCAACTATTAGATTGTTTTTTCTTATTTCTTATATAGTTTTAGTAAGGTAACTATGCTAAAGATGTATAATTGGAGCCTATTAAAAAAGTGTCTCCCTGTGCCTCGCCTTACAAGTGAGTTGTTAAGAGGTCCAAAGATCCTTATGTTACCAGGAGGTTCTATTAGGTTATGCTGCTCTTTAGAGTTTTTTTTCTTTTTGCTTGAACCACAGAATTAAGAGATTCCATATGTCATCCATCACTCTTACTGTAATACTTTAGTCAATTGAAAACTGACCTCTAAAATTGTCACAGACATGGTAACGAACAGCAATAGTGGAAGGTATCTCTAACTACTCAGTGGATAGCTGAAGAAAAAATCACCAGGCTCTCAGCGCATTGCCATGATGAATGACTATAAGGAAACTTGTTTTGACAAGAATAAATTATTCTCACAAGAATAATTTATAGCCGTCAAATTGTAAATGATCATCCGAACAAGCTTGATACACATTAAGCAAAGGTGTGTTTGAAGAAAGCAAAAAAGTTTGATCTAAAAAGAAGACATCTCCAACTTCTATATGAGAAACTGTAACAACTGACAAATTCTTAGCTGACTTTAAAGGCTGTGACAGGCGTTATAATCACTGAGCATGCAGAGATTGTAAAACTTCTGCTCTTTCATCTCTTTTCTTACTTTGAAACTGCAAGGGATGAAAATAAAGTAACCACACACTAAATATCAAAGAGATGTGTCACCATCATTTTTTACATTTCTTGGAAATCTTGTTCTTGCCAAGTTTTAGAACAACTTGTGTAAAATAGTTCATTTTTGCATCACATTGACAATTTACAGCAATAAATTGTAGCCTGCATTGCAAATCAATCAATATTCAATACACAAGTGACAGTCAGAGTCTTCCACAGAACTAGTTGCAGATCCTGAAGAAACATTCTCAGTACTTTAAAATCACCTTTTTATTTTTCTACTGCCTAAAGTTGTAGCATTTATTCATTATTTGAAATACAATTTTGCTGGAGGAGTGTTATTCCAGTGAGATTTAAAAAAAAAAATGTACACCCTCATATCTGTGTTGCAGTGAATTACTGAGTTCATAAATCTGATGTTTATTGCTTGTGTGCCTCAGAGCTGAGGCAGGGCTCCAGTGCAGGAAACGTGAGGACACAGACACCTGTCCGAGAGAAAGGTCAGACACTTTCCTTATGAAACTGTGAAATTATTACTTTATAGATCATTGCTTTATCCTGCAGTGACAAAGACTCAGTGAGAGCAGAAAGTGTGAAACAATAAGATGTTCTTGAAATGTGTTTTCTTCAAGCAGTCAAGGACTCCAGTCCTGAGGAGCTGCTCAGGCAGCTGCAGGAAGAGCGGACCTGTAAAGTGTGCATGGACAAGCTGGTGTCCATCGTCTTCATCCCCTGTGGTCACCTTGTGGTTTGTGGTGACTGTGCTGCCAGCCTGCGCCACTGCCCCATCTGCAGAGCTGTCATCAGAGGCAGCGTTCGCGCTTTCATGTCTTAAGGTTGGAATGAAACCACACCCCTATACAGGTGTTGCATGAGTGCCCTTTAGCTCCCACTGTCCTCGATTTCTCCTAAACTGAAAGAAAAAAAGAGTGCTGGCTGATAGTTTGTCTTATATTGCTGATTCTTTTCTATAATAAAGTATTCAAGTTCATTTTGCGCACTGTCGTTATTTGATTTTTTGCGCTGATTGTTACATTAACAGACAAGATCATTAGAAGAGCATGTTCTTTTATTAACAAACAAGTATTTACATGAACACAAAGGACAGTTCTGGATAATTAAGGTTACACCATCAGGGCATGTGGAGTTTGAGCAACGATGTACAAAAAAAGAGAATATATCTTTCCCGCTTCCAATACACAGAAGACAGAATTATCTAAAAAGAGTTCTTTTATCCCACATACAGTCATAACAAGTTAACTAATACTTGGGTCTGGAAAAACTATGTATTGCACTGAGAGGAAGACTAATTTACACATTATAATATCATGTTACTACTCATAGTGATGATGAAATATGAGGTGCTTTTTGTTTTAGTTCAGTCATCCAGCTAGGAAGGAGAAGTTTACATATAATGACATCTTAAGTATTGGGTCATTTCTGCAAGTTTGTAACCAACTAAATCCAAATAGTTAACTTTATCACTTTGAGGTACCCCAGCAAAGAATTCAGCTGGATCTCAAATACATAACAGTTTATAAACCATCTGGCAGTGACGTCCAGTTAATTTGAGCAAAGTCGACATTCCCACAGTATGTGTAGGTGATGAAAAATGACAGAAATGGTTAAAAACTAAACAATCAAGAAGCAATTCCTGCAATCATTAGTCTTTTTAAAGTATACATAAAATGATATTATAAAAACAACATGTTCAAAGTTCTCCTGATTCATGCTGTGCCTAACTAATATAGAATGGAAGAACCAAAAGACTTCTTCACAGGAACGCTCATTTAAGATTCACTATCTGCAAACAACAAAAATACTTCAGACAAAACCATTTGTAGAGATTTCTGTTGAGATTAGAAGCTTTGCACCTTGCACATTAACACTCTGAACAACAGAGGGCAGTAGTGATTCACATAAGCAGTAAGGCAACAGAAGACCTGCCATTATCTGACTTTGTCCTGATAGTTGCAATATGAACAAAAAAAGTGCTACCTATCTGTATAATATATATGATCCACGTGTTATCACCTTTGCAGAAAAAAAGGTTATATTAATGTTGGGTCAGAATAGAAAAACATTAGAGGATGACACAAGTCACCAGAAGCTTTCAGTTAGAAGCTTTCACCAGTTTAGCTTTTCAATCATCTAATGCTATGGATATAATTACAATGAAAACCTTGTGAAAAACATGCTACAATCAAACACAGTTGAGGGTATCACAATTTAAAGAAATTAATTTATATTGTCGATCTGCCAGGAGACGAATCTCTGATCCACTCGGGCACAGGTGTGTTGCCTCTACACTCTATATCCAATAACTCCAGCACTGCTGTGTGCAAATGGAAAGGAAAATAACTTCCACTGTTTTCAAGTTAAAAATATGCTGTGTCACCTTTGCTTGTCTTTGTTAAACAATTGCCCTTGCCAGATCTGTCAACTGCTAGGGGAGAAGACTTGAAGAGAACCTAAAGCTTTCTGCTCATCACAGACACCAGACACTTTAGAGATACTGACTTTTCTCCTGGGAAAAATAGTCATAATCACAAAAATAGGCCTCCAGACTTAAAAGGAACACTTGCATGCTGTTCCTTGTCTTTGAAGACCTCCTGCAAACTAATGCCGTTTTGTATGCTTGATCATTCACATTTCAAACTCTGCATTTCATTATTTACATTTTCTATTTTTGGCAGATGCCCCTGTAGGTTTGGCGCTTTTGTTCCCTCCCCACCTTCTACCTCTCTATTCCCCTGCCTCAGCTTGCTTAGCTTCTGTATTTTTCACACGGATCCTAAAGCAAACAGGCTGCACACAATAGCTCATTCCACAGACTCCACTGTAATTCAGCCCTAAGGCCAAGATCTGAACCAAACCAGTAATAATATGCTAAATCAGAGTATTCCAAGACAAAGTACCACAGACATGGAATGCTGGGCAACTCCATGATTACATATGCAATGTATATATTAGCTGTCCATGTTGTACACAGTTGGAAAATATCAACCCGTGGTTAAAACTCACAGGGGCTAAAAAATGTTTTTTTTTCCTTTAAAAACACAAATACTACTTATGCATTAAACTCTCACTGGAAGTGTTTCAAATCCCATCACAATGGACTCTCAGTGAGAAATGTTGAGTTTTCTAGGCAGCACACCAGAAAATGACATGTTGAAAGAACTGGAATCAAAAAGAGGAGGGATCTCTGTTGTGCCGTGGTGTGTTTGGGTGTAAACAGCTATTTTGGCTCCTGGGGAATTTGCTGTATCACCTCCTTCTCTGCATTTTTTTCTATTTACGTAGACCTGGAAAGGACAGAGACATGGAAAGAGAGAGCAGAGGATTAGCAGTTCTTGGATATTCATACACACAAAGAGCATTCAAGCTATAACTGTACGTTTAGACAAAAAGCTCCACCTTGCTATTAGAGACAAAGCTGATTAAACTGTCACAAGACTTATAAAATATTAATTTATGTGGCTAAGAATTATGACATGACATCTCCGGCTCATTGTTATTCTGCATAAATTAATTGAATAATCTAATTTTAGACACCAATTTTGTAGGTTTTACCTGTTTATAAATGTCATTTTACAAGTAACTTCCTGTGGCATGAACACATATATCATGCGCAAAAAATCACTACAGTTCTGCAAATATCCTCATAGCATGTTTTACAAAGCACTGAATTTCCCAAATGTATTCAAGCTATCCAGACACCAACCAAACCGCTATTCCAACTTTACCAATTACCCCTACATCAAAACATACTGGAGTCATCAAACAAATTATTAGAAAAAGAAGAAAACACAATCCCATGAATGAGCAAGAATTTAAAAGAAATAAAATGATTTCTTAAACTGTTTGACAAAAATGCAAATGTTTACATGAACCTGCTCTCATGACCACATTCTAAATTCAAATGGGACAAACATGTAGTGGGACTGGATGAGATACTTACAGGTACATGGGCTTTAGGGGGAGATGAGATGGTTTCTCATTGACATGGTAGAGTGGGAATGGATCAAATCCACCAATAAAATCAACTGAAAACGAAAAATTCAATCAAGATGTGATTTATGGAGTAAATAAAAAGATGGATAAAACACAAAATGACACTGGAATAACTGAAAAGAACATGAACAGTGTTTGTAAAAGGAAAGAAAACATGAACAGGGAATAAAATGGGAATGAAAGACTGAGTGTTAGCAGATTTGATTCAAGGACTTTCAAAAGCAGGCAACTTGCCAAAAACAGTTCACGCTTCAAGTATTTTCTTAGTCTTTGTCCTTTTTTAGTTCAACAAAGTGCACAAAAGAAGGAAAAGAAAAAAAACACCCTTGCTCGATAAACTTTATTCATTTGTGCATCTGCTTAGAGCTAAAGGGAGCGCTTGGGAACAGGTGAAAGCTTGCCAGCTGTCAAAATAGCCAAAGCCTTTTTATCGCTCAAGAACAGAGACGACCTTCAGCAACCAAACAAATGCCCAGCCCTCTCTGTTTGTTTTCGCACTTAAGAATTCAGACTCTTGGCAGGGTGCAGATGTGCCCACAATTGTTATGTGAAGCAAGAAAGAAAAGGACGCACTGTTAGAGATATTTCTGAGATGGAGAAGGCTTGCGGCCTTTGAGGGGACACAATGGCAGAGCGGGACAGAGGCGAGAAAGAAAAGGGAGGACGGGGTGCGTCACGCTTGTCGGCCCTGACTGGCTGGGGCTGAGCAGATTAAGTTGATGGAGTGCACAAGAGAGGGGACAGCACTTCCACGATCTGCATGTCTGCTGTAAACATCAAAGGGAGAGGAAAAGGAAAAACTGAGACTAAACCTGATTCGGTCCGAAAAGACACACAAACATCAGAAAGGGGAAAAAAAAGAAGCGGTAAATCTGTTGCTTGCTGGGAACCGACAGCTGTGGGGGAAAATACACCCAAGCAAACCGTGGAAACTACTGTAAATCGGCTCCATCCTGATAAGAGAAAGGCAGAGCTGGTCTGCTGAATACTGATAGGTATGTGGGGAGCCAGGATGGGTTGTGTTATGCTGTCCTCTTCCTCTGACCCTGCCCTGCTTTCCTGGGATTCAACGTTTCCATAACACACGCACATGTCACCCACCCACACGCAAGGGCTCTCCACCACTACAACTGGACAAAACATTTCCTCATTATAAGCAGGTGGGGATCCATCCCCTGGCCCCAAAAAACTATGATGAGAATGACAGTTACCAGTTTTAGGCCCTCTGACAGTTCAAGATGATCCATCCATCTATCTTACAATCTAGGACTTTACTTCTGAGTGTCAAATCATAATAAATGTTCGATGCATTAAACCTTTTAACAGCTATCAAAGGGGGAATCCCCAGATTATTATCTAGTTTTATTAAGAGGCCACATTTTCCACTCATGAGGAAATTGATGCTGTGCATCTTGAATGGATTTCACAGCACCACCGGTCATCAAGTGTAAAAATCTGAGCAACCACGACTGTTTTAAGTGCCACTAGCTGTTTCTTGAGTTAGCACCCTCTCAAATGCTGCAGGGATCGCTATCCCCCAAAACAGAGACGCCAGTCTCCTTTTGAACTTTTAATCCAAAAATGACTACACGCAGTTCTTTGACCCTGACCGCTGAGGACGATGTGTTAAGTAGCTCACTGAACCTGAATGGCTGACCGGGTGAGAAAACACTGAATCACAGATAAGCAGAGCCTTTACTGAACATCAAAGATGTGTCAGGTGATATCAAAGATCTCCCTATCAGGTGCTTTATTTGTTGGGGACGTTAAGACTGAGAAAACATTTTGCGACAATTAAAGAAGCAAGTTTGGTTATACAGAACAGATGATTTCTATTTTGGAGAAATTAGAGGTCAAAGATATTGAAACAAACAAGTTTCTGTACAGTTAAAGGTATTTTGCTCTCTAATATTGAAGGCACACTGAAAAAATTGAAGGATTTTCTCTTGTGAGGGAACATGCTATGAAGAAATGGTATGGAGGCCGTTTAGGCATCAAAAGCTAAAAACTGACAAGCCAACATGCACTTAATATGACTGCACTGCAAAACAATTCTAATACAATGCAAGTTTTTTGCATTTGTGACTTTTTAGAGAGCTGACACTCAAATGTAAAACAGGCCATAAGATAAAGGCTGACAGACTGGGGGGTTAGGGATTTAACTAGGGCCGGTGAGAAAACAGCATAGCCAGGAGAAGATCAAGAAAAACAAATGCGACAGAGACAAAGACAGTGAGCAAGATAAGGGCAGACAGATAATTTAAGACTGCATAGTCTTTCTGTTTTGCTGGCTCTGCATGTCCGCAACACTGTTTTCACACCATTAAGCAGACATCATTAAAATTTGTCATGTTGGATATGAAAACTCTGAGAGTATTTGATTTTTTAAAACTTAAATGCGCATTTAGGCACAAGAGAAGCTCCAGGAAAGAATATGTCACGAGAATCTCCTGTTTACAGTGATGATACTGCCAACATGCTATGTTCCATATGTGAACCATTGAATAATTAATTTCCTCATAACCAGTATTTCAGAATGAGTCAGAATACCTACTCGTATACATTTAAACTTCCTTAATATTATCAAGCAGAGTACTTGTGAAGTTTAAAAATGTTAAAAGATTATGTCATTAATATTCTACATTGATCACAAATAGTTTTATGCTTGCTTATATAGGTTATAAGCAAAAGAATTGTTGTGTTTAGATAAACACTTCTCTCTACTAATGTCTTATGGTGCTGATCCTGACTATACCTTGAGTACTATTTGCAGAAATGTATCTAAAATTTGAAAGAAACCTTCTTCATGCTTTACTGTTGCAAGACGTTTATCCATGTAGTTTTTTGCAGTCCTTCAGGAATCAAACTGCTTTCTACTGAATCCAAATATTTCAAATCAGACCACAGCACCTGCATATTTTTCTATTTGTTGTATTGTTTCTTTGTCTGTTTCTATGTGATTCCACAGAGTAGCCTGGAGAGCACATGGCGAAACACCAAATCACTGAACAGTGTGTTATCCCATCCAGTAATTTTTCTATACCCTCTTCATTCAATTCAGGTTTTCTTTTAAATCAAATTGTTGCATGCCAACATTTAAGTATGGATTTGTTCTCTTCTTGTTTGATGAGCCAACACTTCATATATTTGCCCTAAGGACTGTTGTTAAGTCACAAATTTGAGCTTTCTTACATTTTGACAATTACTTGCCACTTACTGATAAAAAGGGTTAGTCTGCGTGGGCTGCCATTTGTATTGATCCTCTTTTCTCCAATCTTTATTACTGTTGTAGTACAATTTAGTCATTTAGTACATGTCATTTAGTCTAAACCCAGTGAGGATTCATGATCATGGTGTTAGTAAAACTTTACACTTCTAAATCATCAAAAATGTCTTTGAGGCTGTTCTGGGCAGAGTGGGCCCTTTTTCATGTTGTGTCATGGCCTCCTCTCAATAGACACAACGTTCATCCATCAATCCCCCCATCCAGTTGTTCTGCTGCTCTGGGGGATTTTCTGTGGATGTGACTCAGCATGGAGGGCGTCAGTATAATTAGCCGACACGCTAAAGAGAGCTTATCCTGGTGCTAGGCAGCTAACTCCATGACCTACTTTGCAAAGAGGATTTTCCCCACCACTCACTCTGTCTGTGTCTGCTCACCACTGATAACTGTATAACAAATTCATAGACACAAATACACACAACACCTACACTCAGAACAGTCAATCAGTCACAGTCAGCCAAACACACACAAATAGGCTACAAGCCGAACATATGTATGAGGGAGTGTACGCACACTGACATACTCACTCACTGAGTGACAGAGGAAGACAGAGACTCATCAAAAGTGGGATCACGCACAAACACATACACACGGTATAAGTAATAAGGCCTGAAAGCTTTGCCAGACCCTGAGACGATGGTATATTATGCTTGTTATTCATCTCATTGTGTCTTGGCCTCTTGTGAGTGTGTGTTTAATTATTGTGTGTGTTTAGTTATTCTTCACACAAGCCAGAACTCTTGTGTCTGACTTCATCTTTTCCCCAGAGCCTGAGACCGGGCTCCATGTGAGAGGAATTCCTGTTTTATCTGCTCATTCCTGAGATTTGCTCGTAGCATCTCGTGTTGTTTGTTCCTCCATATTGCCTCATCTCCTCTTTCTCGACTTGCTCCAAATAAATCTTTCCTCTCCCGTGTACTCCTCCTCTCTTCTCTCCCTCTCTATCTCTTATCTTTCTGTCCCTCCTGAGAATTCAGTCCTCCTGAGCCTTTTTTCTTCTCTTAGTGAGGTGCAATCAGCTGTGGAAGTTATTGACCAGCAAGGTGCTTAATGAGGCTGATAAAACGAGTGACCAGAGACCTGTAACTTTTTACAAGCGCGCTTAATTAAAGCTTGGAAGCCAAAGATAGGAAAACAGACAGAGCGGATTTCTTAAACAAGCTAGCATTGAATTTCGATACCTGAGAGCTCTACCTGTTAGGAAATGTGCTGCTGAACTGATGAAAATAAGAGAGAGATGTAGAGGAAAGTAGGAGGAGTGATTCTGAGGCAGCCGAGCAGTTCGACACAGAAATTCGCTTTAATGTACACATCAAATGAGAATGGTAAATGAGATCAGATATGGGCCTTAGCTGGTTTTAGTATGAGGTGTATGCGTTGGTGCACCTGTCTCTGAATAAATATGCGCAAATGAAAAGGGCTGATTAAAATAACAAAGAGCTAGCACTTGGATGTGATGTAGCAGCCTTACACACTGGCACAGCCTGGATCAGAGCAAAGCTACAGGTTAATTAAAACCAATAAAAATCACACCATGTTCCACTTTCACCCAACACTGTTTTTTTTTCCGTTCCACTGAGTGTTCATCACATTCAAGAAATGACGGAAGGAATGCAATAAAAAAAATAATAAAAAATTGGGATTGAGTGGAGTCTACTGGTCAGACAAAACAGAATGTGAGGAAAAGTTCATTAGGGAAAATGTTACTGTTTTGTTCTTTTTTTCTTAAATGTACTGTTATACTATTGCCTTCAAGGATTAGTGCACAGGGACTGGTGATTAAATAGTACCCCGCCAGAGCTGAGGGGGGTGGGGCAGCAGGGTGGTGACGCTAAGCACTCACAACCAGTGAGTCTCTGGTATGTGACCACCTAAGAACTGCCTGGATCTCTGAAATACTGGTCTGCAGAGCAGACACAGGAGAACCACATCCCATTTCACCCACATCACAAGAGGGATCATTAAAAGTCAGTCAGTGCATGCCATGTCATCAACAACTCTATCTTCAAATCTACAAAAGCTGGGTTGTCGCATGGATAGATCCACGCTCCTGATGCGTTATAACTACTATTTTACGGGTTATATGAATGTGCTGGTACACTAGGGAACTACATATCGTCATATCTAATCCTAGCTGAGTGCCTGTCCGTTCAGCCTTTAATTAATGACCACAAACCAAAGTCTCTGCCTCTGCCTCTGTGTCTAAAAGCCAGGGTAAAAGTAGATTCACATACATGTGTGTATACTAAAGCAACCTGGGTTGCCACAGATATTTATGACTGCCACCGATCCGTCAGATCAACTGTTTCCTGACCTCTCATTGGCTTATCTCTGGCATGACCTCTGCCCTGTTGTGAGGTCACAGAAGCCCATGTCATTTATCAAAACTGTCCATCTCTGGTTTCTTCATCTTCTTCCATGACTTCTATGGTCTCCTCTGTCATCTTTCCCTGCACCCTTCCCATGCTCTTTGCTTATAAATCCATGGCAGGTCGGGAAAGTAATAACGTCTACTCATCTGATTTCATGTAAAAAAACTAACTGCAAAAATTGCTGGTTACGTATGGGAAAACACTTCAAAGAGAGTTTTTGAACTTCTGCAAGGCAAACGTGCATCTGTCTGTGAACAAGAGAGGGATGGAGGTGTCCTGATGGAGTATAAAAAGCACAGCCCCCACCCAACTCTGGCAACAGACAGCTGGAGGAGAAAAACGGGTACATGGAGCAAAAAGTAAGAAAAGTAAAAGTAAAAGACTAAATTAAAGTGGATGGAGACCAACAATAAGGATCACACCGAAGGCGAGACCGTGGGACATGTAACATGTGAAAGGAAAGAAAAAGAGAATGAGCTGAAGGAGGTGTGGAAAAGGAACACATGGACCCTTTGGTATTGATGAGGAAAGGGAGTGAGAGGACTCAGCTGGTGTGGGGGAGGAAAGAAGACGCAGGCAGGGGACAGTTGTATGGGGTGTGACAGGAAAAGAGGGAGATAAAGACAGACGCAGCTCCTATTCTCCCCGAATCAAGCATGTTTCATCTTAGTGTATCTGGGTGTGATTTGTTAGAAAGCCCCTTTTCAAGAAATAGGTGTGTTTTTGTGCATGTTTAAAGTCACTTACAGCTGTCCTCCTCCTCGGTGATAGCACTGACCACATAGCAGGCGTACACAAAGCCCAGGAGCTGTGAAACAAAAGTGAATGAGAAAAGTTAGATTCCAGAAAGGTGACAATGTCCACCTAAACAGCTATGTGCTTTCACTGTCGAACAAAAGGACAACATGAGAGGAAAATGTGTGTTTTTCTACTGTCGGTGGAGATGAATCCCATGTGCTGCATCTTCGTTAAATAACTAACAAAAAAAAACATGATCCACTTCCCAACAACCAAAGTTCTCAGAATTTCTGTTTCATGGAACTTCTTTTTTAATTTCCTACTTCAAGTTTGTAGACTCCCTGCACACGAATGACTGATGGGGATTTAATGTGACTGCATGTACACTGCATGCATATGCAAAGTCTACAACTTCAACCTATACAGACATAACTCCTTACAACATGTGTGAATTTATATCAAATATGCATTCACATAAGAATGGATGGCAATATTTGAAGTTATCATGACCTCATGTTATACTGAATACAAAAACTATATATTTTTTAGGGCAAAAAACAATAACCTTATTTTTACCCAAAGTATATGAAGTCTCTATGTCTTTAAGAAAAGTATATTTTCAATGAGTGGTTACTTTAATAAGGGTTAATTGATAACCAGAAATTAATGTATTCAGTATAGCATAGGGAGAGTAGGGACCATCTTTCTTGAAGACTCTACCGGATAAATATGACCAAAATAGCTCAAAGCAGTACAAGTGAATTGAATTATAATTGGAACTACATTAAGAAAAGTCAGCCAAAAATTAACTGTGGAGCAGAAGAGATGCAAATTTACTTTGAAGCAAAAAATAAAGGTCAGATCAGACGAGCTTCAACGTCGGATAGAGCTGCTGTCCATCCAGTAAATGTTTACATGAACAAACACACCAGAAAGGGACACGGCCAGCACGCAAGCATGTGGACATACATGTAGGCAAACACACAGATCTGAGAATAGCCCGTGGCACTGGCAGATGGCTGCCATCGACTCAGACACAGTGAGTCTCTCAACCAATCCATCCGTCATCTGGCACTGCCTCGCCAATTAAAGCGGCGGCGGGCACACTGCCCTCCTCACACATTGGGTTCACAAACACAGAGCCCAAGGGGGTAATAACTGTCTGATGATGACAACTTGTATAACATTAATTTAACTTAAGCCTTGACTGTTCCATTTGATCACAGAAAAAAGGAAACGAAAGATGTGCATTATTGAAACATTTTTTTTTCCGCTTAATTTTTGTTGAGTGCAATGTACTCATGAAATTAATCTGTTGTAGATACAACATTTTATGTTATGAATGGAACAAAAAAAATAAAGAAAAAAAGACAATGACTCGTGTATCGAGTCATTGTCCTCTGTCTGCCTCTCTCACACTGGATTTTCCCTCTCCAATATCTAATTGCTGCTCTCACCCCATCCATTACAGCGGCGGTGAAATGGAGGTGAATTAGCATATGTATGAAGCAAGTGTCAAACATAAGATGGTGTTAACAGCAGAGGCACACCCCGTTTCACCACTTTATTGTGTCTGTGTGTGTGCTCCTTGGACATCTTTTCTCTGTTAACTTTAATATATGAGCTCACTTCCTGTTAAATTTTAATGAGGGAGCATAAGGTTGAGTCAAACATTGTATGGCTGAGAGGAGCAAAGAATCTGTGTACATATAAAATACATACAGGACAAAAAACATTTAATCGAAGTTAATTTTGAGTCTTTAAGTCAGGTGCTGGACTACAATAAACTGACAGGTGGGTTTTATCGTGCTGTTTTAAACGTTTTGCAGGTGTCTGGAATTCTGATAAGCACAACTCTAATGGGGATAAAGACATTGCTGTTGTAAGGTTGTGTATTTCCTGTCAAGGCCCTGACATCCTTTTTCTTATTCTATTATAAAAGAAGATGATGCTATAAGGGGTCATCTTTAACATAACAATGGTGTAAGAATGAAAGAAAAATAAATGGTCAGTGTAGCTAATCTAATACAGAAACACCTTCACCAGGACAGCTACAGTTTTCCCATGAAAAAAGAACCCATTTTCCGTATCCAATTTATTTAATTCAGTGTTACATGGTGACTGGTGCAGGGTACAGTCTGGACAGTTGGTGAGTCCATTAAAGGGCCCTACATAGAAACAAATAGGTCAAGAGCATGGCATTGCACAGCAATTCTTGTGTAAAGACAACTACACACTGTGTTATTATTTTAATATGCATATATTACCTTTTGTTTAACTGTGATAAATAGTATCCCTGCCTTCATAATACTCTTCAGTAAAAGAGTTCCTGCAAAAAGTGTCAGCAATGGCAAATAGGTTTAAACATCCCGTCAAATAGAGACCAACTTTGGAAATGTGCCCGTCAAAGGTCAGTTATAGGAAGACCAATCCATCTCTCATCTATCTGCTTATAACAGCTGACAGTTTAAAATGTAGTGTTATGCTGCTAAGCATGATCAGAAAAGTCTCCACTTGGTGGCATTTTGCTGGAGGGGGCGGACAATATAAGTCAATGCACTCAATAAGAACTGACAATTCCAATAATATATGGTTGTATAGTAAGTGTCCTGAACTGAAGATAATGAAATTATGCTCTTTAAGGCTTCCTCTCTTAGTCACATACACAGCGCCCACCCGCTTTTTTCACTTGTGTCTCCTGTCACTTCATGAGTTCATGGATCATTTTAGATATTAATGTCACATTCATTAAGCTCATAAAGCCCCCGCATGTCCTGTGTGACTTTAACTCAGCCTGTCCATAAGAATATTTCACAGTGAGTCCAACTCATTTGCCTGGCAATAATTTGCATATTTCCCCTGTATTTGGAATTCTTTGCATTAATAACTTCATCAACAGAGGTCACAACCTTACTGTCACTGCAATCCAAATATCTCCCCACTTTTCACCCTTTACACCTTTTCTTTACACCCTCTGAGCTTCCAGGTTGAATTATCTTTCCCTCTGAGTGCAACCGCTCTCCATTTTGTTTTCTGAATTACGGGCTGCTTAGAAATGGACCAAAATCTGCTTGATCAAATGTGGAATCAAGCATACACAATTTTAATCCCTGCTGGTTAAAGGTTAAAAAACTAAATTAGTCTTAAACCAGTTCCTAGTTATCATGCACAAGAGAAACCACAGAAGATATTCTTTTATAGCTGAACTTAATTTGTGTTCCTGCCCTAACATCACACCAAGAAGAACTACTCAGGTAAGTCTCAGGCATGTGTGTGTGTGTGTGAGAGAGAGAAAAAGAAGACAGTTGGCTATAGAGCTAGAAAAAAAAAGGATTACCTGTATTTGCATAGGCTAATGAAGTTCAGATTTATGCTGAGCGGGCCTGCCGAAAAAGACACTTTGGCACCTTTGACAATGGATACTCATTAATAATCATCAAGGTGCTGGACACGTGACTGTCCTGTGATTGAGTTTGTGTGCTGTCATCACAGACAAAAACTGGAACACCGACATAACTGGATCTTTGAATCATTCATTTTATTATTTTTCATATAGAAAAATGGAAATCATTTGACCTGATGGTGATGCCAGAGCAACCCAGATGAGCTTCTTAATCACTGAACAGTATCACCATCCGTCTTTGACGCCAGCATCCGCTATATCTTATGATTTTAGTTTTTCAATGTGAAAGGATGTGAGCAGCAGCTTTTTGGATTAACATATTTCTAAGCTCTCATCAATATCTAAATCAATTTAATTCACATTTGAACAGATTTTTTAGATGATATGAGATGAGCTGAATACTCAGATGCACATGACATTAATTACTTAAGACACAAATCTTTATTTGCTATCTTGGATAATAGTTGCAGCTTTCTATCTGTCTGTCCTTTCTGTATTCTGGAGATGACATTTGTCTTCAGCCCAGTGGCCTCAGCATTAATGTATAGCGACTGATATCTAAGTCGATCTACAAGCTAATTAACACTTTATTGATTGTGTAAGAAGAAAAATCCCTGGACACACCGGGATGAAAGGAATTTCTGGGTAAAATGTCAAACCAAGGAGGAGGGAGTGGTTTAGATGAAGTGGGTGATGCAGATGTCCTGTTGGTTAATTACACGGGACTATTCCACCTGGCACTAAAGGTACACGCATCACTGCAGAAGATGAGATGTTAGTGTGTCGGCAGCTGTATGTTTAATGACAAACCATGATGAGGTAGGGACTGGTGAGACCACATCCACCTGTCATCTCTACCCTCCTGCTGTCCAAATATTAGGCACTCGCACAAAATAGAGCCGTAATGAGCCTTATATTTAGGTTGTTAGGGATCTTTGGTGCTGATTTGCACTAATGTCACACACAAGTGTCTCAGCCTGCTTTCAGACTAAATGAATTTTCAGCAATCATGGTTGGTCAGCGTTATAGTTTGAAAACACAACATGGAATAATGACCACAGAAGAACATCACCTCTTTTGTATTGATGATAGTTTGGGGGAGGGGAGGGGGTCACGCTGTTTTCATGCTGCTGAACTCAGTAAACCTCACCAGGCTCAGAACGAGAACCATCCCTGTAGGCAAGCACACCCTCGGGCTGTAATCACAGGGGTCAGCCCACACTGAGCACATACCCCCTGTAATTAACCCAGAGGGCGTTTTTCATCTCTTACGCGTTCCAGCCACTGGTGCCAAACAAGGCACACTTTAACGGGCCCCAAAAAAAAAAAAAGAAGAAGAAGGCAAAGGGACAGTTGAGAAGTGAGGCGGAGGAGGAAAAAAAAAAGAGCATCACTCTTAATGTCATATAAGCTTCTGGGAGTTTGAAAAAGATGAGGGTAAAAAAGAGTGTTATCTGGAAAAAAAAGGGAAGGGAGACAGAGATGAGAGACTGCAAAACATGAAAACAGAGGAAATGAGCAATGGAAAGAGAGAGTGACGCAGACTGACATTCCTCCTGTTATCAGTGCCACCCAATGCAGTTTTTCAGGGAATAGATGTACTGCAGAGGAAAGCAATGCCTGTGGCAGCTTCTACCCTAAGTCTAACCGTATAGATGTGCATGTCAGAGAACCTTCTTTGATGAGTGGCTTACAACTCAGGAGACTTGACAACCCCCTGACATGTTTCACGGCTCCTTTTAGCACGTAAGAGAGATATTTCTACAGATGTAAACTCTGAATCACATCTGGCACCACTTTTCTTATCCTTTCATACCATTCTTTCTGACAACTCTCCATCTCATTAGAGATGTTTACTTAGATTCCACTGTTTTATTCAACAGCAAAAGCGGCACACACTGGAGGAAGAGCTGATGAATGGAGTGAACAAAGAAAAGGAAGTTGTCTGCATTAATAGGATAATAAACACTGTTGTGACATAAGTTTGAAAAAACAAAGCTATTGAAATGGGAGGATTCAGCGGATGAAACGAGAAAATAGAGGGAGAAAGATGGAACGAAATATGCCCCTCTGTGGCATGGTAATAAATTAATAATACGGTATCCCAGTTTAAAAAATGTGCCTCTGCTTCAAGCTCATCCTTTAAATTGTATGGTTACCCGTTGCTGAAAGTTGCCCATGGCAAGAAGAAGCAACAACACGGGACTGGCTGCAGCACATCTAAAGCTTCATTTCTGAATCATTTATTTCTATGCTGTAACAAATCTGAGCAGATGGATGACAGAAATGTCTCCATTACTGGCGGATGGATCCACATTTTTCATTTCAATGAAACATGCTCCCTGGAGTCCAAATTCAATATTTAATGGCCTCTTACTGTGACCTTGAACGCCCTCCTAAAAGACAATGAGACACTGTCTTTACTCAGTTTCTTGACATTGACACCTTACGTACTCTTCAGACTCTCCACTTCCTTCATTAAAATCTCAGTATTAAGTTGTTAACCCTCTCCTAAACATGGATCAATTGTTCATAAGAGCAGCTTGCTCATAATGATCTCTGACATCATCAGGAAGTGATTAATCCAGTTATATCTGCTGTGTTCGTGACAGCAAGGGAATGGAAATGTTTACAGCTGGGTTCAATTTAACCCGAAATATGTATTGTTAGGGATGGCACAGGCGGCGCTGAAAAAAGCCATAGTTATTCTGCTGTAGGCCTTGACTGCTTAGGGGGCAGAGGATCCTCCTTGATGCCCCTTTCTTCAAACTGAGTCCTAATTATTCTATTTCTAGATCTTCAGTATTACCTGTGATTGAAGCAGATATCACCTCTAGGTCAGAATAAAAAAATTAAGAGTGAAAAATTCGCTCCTGGTAAGAAAACTGTTCAACCCCAGGAGAAAAGCTGAACTATCCCATCACAGTTATAAACGCTGGAGGCATTATATCTACTGACTACAGCTTTAATAAAGAGTTAAATGAGAATAAACAAAAAAAACTATTTGATAAAAAATACTCGAAAGCTTTTCTGAAAACAATAAAGAACTTATCTTTGTGCACTAATTTCAAGAATGAGAGGAGGCTAATATGCAGGGAAAATGATGTCACCACCAACTGGAACCAAAGCCCCTGCCCCTCTTGGGAGCTGTTCTCACAGAGCTGCAGGTGAATAGTTGGCTGAACAGCACCATGTCAGATGTAGGCAAACGGGTGCTCCTATCCGCTCAAGGAGGAGTAGAAGTCCAAGCCTGACGAACCATAAACCAATTCATTACCATTTGTGAAAGGGGCTAATGAGGTTCACTGAGAGTATTGAGGCTGTAAAGTGAGGTCAGCCATTTTATTGCCTTTCTCCATGAGGGTCATGGGATGAATAACACAATCCAGTGAATCTTACTTCTGGATGCCTCTGAAAGTATGCAGTCAAAGAAACTCACAGTGCTTTCTCAAGTTCGACCTATCACAATATTAAACTACCTGCTTGTGTATATAGATTTTTTGTTTTGTTTTGTCTTCCTTCATTTCCACCTACTCCAAATGAAGAAACATGACACAGACTCTGAAAGATAAGTGCTAACGTGGGCTAAAACTGAGTCAAATTGCAACTGAGTGAATGCAACTGTGAATGACGGCAGGCCATTGCACACATCTTAAGCATTTTCTGCTCTGGCAGCCAGAATTGTCACTGCATTTAATATGTTTGGATCTAGTTTTTCAAATATGTGCATGCTGTCAGGATGTAAGTATATGTTTGTTTGATAGTGACTTGTACAAACAGGGGTAGTAACCTTTCTTCCAGTACTTTATGAACCTGTTAGCATTTGCTGTATCTTACTGAAAAGAAGACAAAACAACAGATTGATATTTTCCCTTGGGGTGGAGGAAGGAAAGCAAAGTTAGACAAAACACCGGGAGAAAAACTTTCGGCTAAAACATCATCTTCCTTTCCATCATGTTCACAGCTCATAAACATAATTCCCTTAGCATCTGACACGGCAGTGTTCCTCTGACATGAGCTCATGTTCTTACACGTACGTTCTCCGTTCCTGTGAATATGTCAGAGCTGTTTTATATTGGTGCTGATAACTGGTACTTACAGCAACAAGAATCTGCATGCTGCTATGCATGACCTCGATGTACTGGTAGTCCATGAGGCAGCCCATGACAGTGATGTAGGAGTGGTTCTCTGTGTTGTGGACCCCTGGAGCCTGTTGGATCTCTCTCCTCACACAGCCTGGACCATGTTCGCTCCACCAGGAGTGATGGGCCGAGATGTTAAACGTCAGGAGGTCACTGTCCTGGAGCAACACAAAAAATAAAATGAGCCTCTCTGTGTTGTTCATCTGTTTTGAATCCTGCATATTGATTTAGTCTTCATAAAGGAAACGCAAAGTCTTTTGTAATTGCAAGTATCTTTATCCCAGCAACTTCAAAAAGTCTGGATGGTTTTTCATGGCTGTGGTCATTTGCTCAACAAGTTAGTCGTTCTATTTTAAGACAACTTTGTACTGCCAAAAACAGCATATCTCATGCTGAAAAGAACAAAAAAAAGACAACTTTCCTCATCTTTCTTTTGTTTGTTTGCATGTTTACCTTAATTTGCAATACTTACTGCAGCTGAGACATTTGGAAAATGTATTTGGAGGTGTTTAGCATGAGCAGATGTTTATGCTTTGCAGTCACAACTCCTTTTTTCAGCAGTCCCAACAGGAGTTTTCGCAGACCCTATGATCAGACTAGGTATAGGATCCTTCTGGTGACACCTAAACTACCTGCTCGATTTGCCCCAGCTGGAAAGAATATTGCAGAGGACAACTCAGCCAGTGGCTAGCAAATGTAACCAAATCCACATAATCCAGAATGTCTCAAGGACAAAGAAACGATCGGAAGATGATTACTACTGGCGTTTTACAGTGTAGTTGAAGAGAGATGTAAAACTCTCTGAGGACAGATTGGTTTGAATGTGAACAATGAATATTAACATATATTGTATATTCAATTTACAATCTAATATGATGTTGGACATTTTAAGCAATATATAACCGAGATACAGATCAGAGGTTTTCCTTTTAAGAAATTAAAGAAAAAGTAAAAAGAAAAAGAAAAAATGTAATTTTCTGACTGTCCTTGATTGTTATTTGTGGTTGTTTATTTATCATGCACATATTAGCCATGAACACCAATTCACTAATGAACACTGTCGTTCCAAAAGTTATTCCAATTGAGATACTTCAGTGCCTCAGCTCCAACCTGGAGGATTATTATCACATTTAAATGGCTAAAAAACTACTAATGCTACAAAAATATACAGGGAAGATGAATTTAAAATGTCTCACACTTACAAACTGCCACTAATGAGAGCATTTCAGGAGATTTTTAGCGATATGCTGAATGTGCCCTTTCACAGCCGCAGGCACACATTAATTGGAGTTTCAGATATCCTCAGTCTTTTAGGCTATGGATAAAAGTCCAAAGAGATAGATATCCCCATAGAAACTGCACAGCCGCAATTTTTAAAACTAAGATAGCACACTGTGTGGCATCACAAACAGAGGAGCAACAACACATGCAAATAATAAGCATTATATGTATTATTCTCACCCAACAGTTGAACCACTGATAAGTGATGTTTAACACCTCAAATGTGACAGCTGATGCACAGATGTAATGCTAAATTTGGAGAAAGCTTTTAAAGCATGTTACACAGGCACGGCATACTGAAGTAGATGCTGGGCAGAGCCTTGTGGGCCGGTGCGACCACCATCACTGAGGCTCATGCCAATCAATACCCCAATACAGCAATCTAAACCTGCTTCTGCCCCTCAGTGACAAGGCATGCATTATTAACAAAACCAAGTGCTGTCAGACTCCTAACAACCCCCACTCACAAAAACGGACCAACAACACATACATAAACTACTTAAAATAAATTATCTTTGCCATCAACATGAATCATAATATTATCTATCCCCCTTGTCTTATTGTTGATGGCTTATAATTCCTCTGTGTCTTTCTTTCTTTGAAACATTTGTCACACAGAGTCACAAAAAGAAGGACATTTGAGGGTGAATGTACTGCAAGGACTAATGACTTGACAAGATGTCTTTGATTGATGCTGCAAGCCAGGGAAACCATCTCAATCCCAGCTGTAGCCTCATCTGTGGCTGCAGTACGTCAGGAGTCGATACTGAATATGCTTTTGGCAACTGAATGTCAGCAGTAGAATTGTTACACTCCCTCACACCCAAAAGCACAAATCAATGTCTTCACTGTATAGATTCAAAGTTTGTTTACTGATAATAGTAAAACTATTTTGTAGCACAAAATTATATACATCTTGCATATGCTTTTACCCTCACATGTGTTTTTATATGTCTCAAGATATAATTTAATGTACTACTTTCCTTTTACCTACTAATCTAGTGTAAAAGTATTACTGTGGCTTACAAATGCAAACTGTTACCCCAAGTACTACATCTTTAATTTGAGATGCTTTGAGGATCACAAATGAACATAAATACACATCAATGACAAAACCAGTTTTCATGAGAAATGCTAAATGTTCACTACAAACAAAAGGTCGATATCATCAACTCACAAAATGAAAAAACAGTTATAAGACTGGCTTTAATTCAACTATTGCTTGGATTTGATTATAATATCAAATTAAATTCACATATAAACCAGGTATGATTTAGCAGTTTCTGGTGTTTTACTCTACAAGCCTTATCTAAAATTAGAGCAGGTGTTCAAAAAGTCCAGGACAACAGATAAAAATTCCATAATTTGATGACAGCATCCAGATAAGTGGGTATCTGTTTTGTGAATCAGTTTATTCATTGCTCTCTGCCAACATTGAAAGAGATAAGATCAAATTAAATGTCTATTAGATCTGCTAGATTAAGATTTTAAAAAACAAAAAGTATGCTATATCAAAGCTACATCACTCACTTTGGTGACTGGTCAAGTTTTCCTGTCTGTGGTCACTGTCTGAGAAGGAATGCATAACAAGAGATTTCATAGATCAAACTGTTTAAAACAGACGCGTGTGTCAAGTAGCGGTCATCTATCCGTCTCGCACAGTGGGGGAGGGGATATAGGATCAATCGGAGGTGACAGAGTATGTGGCATTTGACTCCCTAGCAACCTGCCCCCTCAATCTGTGGGCCTGCCTCACACACACTTTTCACACAAACATACACACACAACCTACAGTACTATCCTATTGACATCCATCAAACTGAGCCGGAAAAAATTACTTGACTTTGCTTTCTGACATCATGTTTTGGGGGTCCTCACGTAAGACCATGTGTCAAGTTTGATTGTGAGCATGTGCATGGGTTTATGCATGTGTGCACACTTCATATCGGCCAGCTTTCCTTCTGGCCACCATATGCAGAACTCGGAGGCCAAGCTGGCTCCATCTGTCGGGTTAATGCCCAGACTCAGCCCCAAGCAGCTGGCCCCAACAAGCCTCATTATTCAGGAAAAAAAAATCAGAGACACGCACACTCGACACACACAGACAGATGCAGTGGAACACACTCGATGGAACCAACTGATATCACAAAATGACCAAGTTGCCACAGCCTGAGAAGGTGTTTCTGAAACTCATTTTGGCCATATGAGCAGGTGTTAGATGACTCTTGCCGATATCAATTCATGATTCTCAGTGGTCAATATGCAAATGGTCAAGGTAGCCATCATTAACAATAGCACATTAAAAATAAAAAAGTAAAAGAATTAAATAGAGGGGAACCAAATACTGTCAAAGGAGCACTGAAAGAGTGACTGTAGGTGAAATATTGGAAATAGGGGGGGTATTATTAGTAATTACTGAGGGGTGAAAATCATTACGCCTGACCTTGTCTGGAACCGCAGGAAGAGAATTAAGAGTGTTAATGTGCACAGGACGTAAGTAAATTTTCTCTGATTATTACTTCATAAGTTTTAGGCTTGCTATTTGAATAATAAATTTAAAAAACACCAGAAAAAACATTAATCAAAAGAAAATACATATTCCTCAAGGCCAAATTTCTATCTATGTCCTGCATAATGTTTAGCATGTTAGTCATTTACAATCCACTGTTTGATTTGTTCATTGTACTTCGTTTGTGGCTATGATATATGTTAAGAAATTATAAAGATTCATTTAAGCTATTTTAAGTTTATGTGCCGTATAACATTTTTATTGGTATGGCTGAGTTTGAAAAAAAAAACACCATTCCATTAAACGTATCAGTAAAAAAGAGAAGAACCCCTGTATTTTCAGTTAAAGTATTTTTCCATCATAAAATGGTGGCATCCACAGAAAGACACGTTTGTTTTTCTCTACATCCTTATCAGGCTGGTATTGAGCAGATTTTGGTTTGAAGTAGCTGTAGATTAAATGTTTTCATACAAACACTAACACAGTTCATTGATACACTTTGGATAGGGGCCATATGATTAAAAGTACTTTACAGCTTGCGGGGATTTTAAATGACTGTGGAAAGAAGAGTGTTCCTCATAGTACAGAAAAACGTTCTTGACACAGCAGGCACATGCATGATGCACATTTTAGAAAAATGACATACAGAATCTTTTTAACTCTTACCTTGGACAGGCCTCCTACATCCAGGTAGAAGCAGATGATGAAAACATTCCAGGCTACCCACAGTGCGGCCCATATTGTGTACTTCAAGACAAACATACAGCAGATTAGATCAAGGGAAACCATTGTATACATACATTGAAAAGCTTAGCATATAAGTACCTAAATTAAGGTTTTGTGTATAAAGATTACATAGAAACCCCAAACTCAGGTACATATATGAAGAATTGCGGTTTAATGAGATGCCAGTAAGTTCAGCCGGTCTGTTGCCTGGGGGTGCAGCGGGTTTCAAACTGCTGAGAATGAATGAAGTTCATGACTCAACCGTTTAGAAAATTGTATAGTCAGACAGCCAGCTGCTGACAGACGGAGTGGAACTGGGTGGTGTTCACTCACATAGCCATCAGAATTAGGCTGTGAAATATTTGGACTTACAATGAAATCTGTGTTTAAAGTGTCAGAGGAAGAGCAAAGGGCAAAGCAGCCGCACCATAAAAAAACATACATGTTGAATCACGAAACCCTTCAGCTTGCACTCTCCGATTTTCCACTTGACATGAGACAATAGCTTCAGCTTTCCCTCCTTCCTCTCTTCCATTCAACTTCTGCTTCCTCTGTTTTTTCATCTTATCCTGTGTGGCTTCCCTTTATGCTTCTTTATCTCCCTCATCTCTCTTTATTTACTGCTTTTCCCCTTTCGTCCAATCTCATTCTCTCTCCCACAATCTTTTCCGGTCATTAACATCACCATCTGCGCATTCTCATAATGCTGCTCAATATAGGCTTTTAATGGCTCAGGTAAATGCTATGGCATCAAATCAAAACTGAGATGTGTAAAAACATATTTCTAAAGTTTCATATGCACAGCAGGCTGTACAAGCTTTTCTTTCAGCTTCAAAGAATGCCCTTCTCTGTCCAGGATAATTCTAGCCAAGTATAAATCTGATGAGCTCCTTAAGCCCCTCCAAGACCCCACCCCTTTTAATTAGCTCTAATTACCAAGGGATCAGAGTGATTTAAGGATGTCGAACAATGCACAAAAGAGTGCAGAAACAATTAGAGAGGAGAAATAACATGTAGGATCTACAGTGCTGCATCTACTGAGGAGGGGCTGAGGAAATAAATGTGTGATTGCTCAGTGAAATCAGTTTTATGAACAAGATTTGTTTTCAAAATGGAACAAATAGTCAAATATGATCTAAGATGTGTGCACTCACCACTATAATGTACCGTGGTCGGTACTGGATGGTGCCAAAGAGGCCGAGGATTACGATGATGATGTGGAAGAAGTTTGCAAGAATTGGAGCCCATTGGTAACCGAGGAAGTCAAACACCTGTCTTTCTAAAGCAAACACCTAAGGGATGAGACAAACAGAGTTTAATATAAACTGTAGATTAGCTAGCCACATCAGTAGATTAAAGAATAATACACCAAATTCACAATTTATGTGAGGGACCATAAGAGGTCACTCAGAGAACCAGCTGTAATGAAATTACCTAGATGAATGGGTTCTTCCTTAAGTTATTCTCTGAAAGTCTGCTGGTTTGTTTTTGTATTTTCTAGTAGCCCTAAAAGCATACCGCTACCAATCCACCGGCTTATGCAGAGGACAAATGGAAACATGTTGACACTACACACAGTCTGATTACTCACCCAGACATTTATTTGTCATTCAAATAACTGCCATTGACTTTAACAAACAAAAAATTAAACTAGACACAATTGGACCGTAGGCAGTCATTTTGTGGGCATGTTAGGACTGTGATTTACAATTTAAGTATAGATCAAAACAGACCCGCTTAACACATTGAACTTCATAATGAATACATGACAGTGTTAAATAAGTGGCCATTAAGGTGGAAAATACTTCTGTCACATTTATTGGTGTAATTAAATAATATTGTATGTCATGCAAAATAAAAAAAAATATTGATATGATATTTTAGAGTATTGGCCACAGAAAAACTATTTGTTTTCAACCAATGCTGGCATGGACATGTTGTATAATTCTGCCAACCTGTGAAAGTGGATGGCATCGACGTGCACCCTTCCATCCTTTTTATATACCTGCTTAATCCAATTCAGGGTCACTGGAGGCCTGGGCTGATTTCAGCTGTCACTGGATGAAAGGCAGGGTACACCTCGGTTGACTATCCATCACAGGGTTTACGTCAACATATGGAATATTTATAGCACAAGCAAATTCTGCTTGATGAACTAGCCCCAAAGTCTACATTATGTAGGCAGGATGGAACAATACAAGTTGTCCAACAAACAAAGATTAGATACCTGAGTGAGACTGACATTTTGTTCTGCCAGGACAAAGCATCATGCATCAAATCCTATGAGGTGAGTTTTTGTTAGTTTCACTGCCCCTGTTCTTGGCTGTGTATAAGCACGTAAACTGGTTTGACAGCAAAAATGTTTTTATTCAGGTGACATGGTTTGGTATCATTGCATAAATAAAAATAAGGTTGGGCATGTTGAGGAAAACCATGTCAACTAAATGTATTTATGTGATCCTTGGGCTTGAGACTTCACTAAAATGTGCTCACAAAGCACACATTCACATATGCATGAACAAACTACTACATGACGAATAGTAATACTTCTCCATTCTCAGGATTGTCTCTGCTTTGCCCAGCACCTTTCCAGTCATCTGTGATGGCTGTCTTCAGATGACTTTCTACTCTAAGACTGATTTACAAATTGTTTCACAATATATAAATTCAGTCTCTACCTGCATTTTAAACTTTTGTGTACCAACAGAAAAAACAAAACAAAGCAAATGATTTGTCTAACACTCTAAGCCCATCTTTGCATTGGCTCAATTAAAATTGAATTTAGAGAGAATACACACAAAGGGTGTGAAGCATTTCATCAAAATTCAGTGGTCAATCCAATTCCATTTCTTTCCAATGTGAGCACTCGTATGTGTGTGTGTGTGTGTGTGTGTGTGTGTGTGTGTGTGTGGGTGTGGGTGTCGGTGTTGGTGTCCAAGAAAGAAAGTCTTTTGGGTGTGTGTTGACACATCATTTACAGCCAAATGTTTGAAGATAGATGAGAGAGGAATGTCTTTGCAACTATGAAAGTAAGACATCACTGAGCACAATCACACAAACACACGCACCCACACACACACATATCCCTCACAGAAGAGGCTGCTCATCGTAACGTAATAGAAATGTTATCAGCGACCTGATGGGAAGTAATGATGGGCAGGGCAGGGAGATGATCCAATGGTGAGTGATAATTAAACTCCACATCTGGAGTGTGAAGTGACAAAGGATACAGTGTGTGAGATACAACACACACCGAGCTTTATTAGAGCTGAAAACATAAAGTGATTTGGTCACAAAAAAAAAGGAAAAAAAGGAAATGTGACCAAAAAGAGAGGAGGAAATTAATTGAGAAGTATCTTTAAACAATTGTAAGAAAATCTGACACCAAGGACATGTAAAAAGCCAGAAGACAAGCACATGAACAACATTCCTTTTCATTACAGACAATATGCCCAGCTATCTCTGTCAATAACTTCTGTATATCCCCTGGATTGAGTAAAGACCTAAGTAAATGAATAAAGATTAAAGAGTTACATCTTCTGGTCATGTGCAGGCCAAAGCTGGAGACTTTTTTTCTTGGCTATAGTCACACTTATCTAAGAGTCCCACTTTCCTTAAGATTGACACTGTAAAAGTGGCAAAATGAGAAGAAACTATTTATCTGGTGGGGCTATTCTGTTTATGTGCAAATTCAAAGTGTTTCCAAATCTTTTCATGTCAGTCTGGTACTAGAGAGATGTCTCTTTCAAGTTCATCCACCCATTAAAATATTGCTCCTGACAAAGCATACCCTGTGCCAACAGCTCTCTCTGATGGCAGGATAAACCACTTTTCCACAGTTAAACCTATTCATGTATAGCTTGAGCCAAACGTAAAAGACAGCTCTAAATATTGTGCCAGAATGAGTTACAGAGACCTCATACCTCGTTACTCCTGGATGACTTAACATCTCATATGTCTGCAAATGAGTCTAGACCCTCTTCAGAGGAAGCACTTCTAAGCTACTCGCATTCTTTTAGTCAGTACCAAAATACTGACATTACTTGAGGCAGCAACTCACTTTCCAGTCTGCATACTAATCAAGTCTTGGATAAGTTAACTTCACATCCAACTGCCAATGACCCCAATGCATGCTAGATGCTTGTCTTTGATGAGAATAATTAACTCACGTGGAAAAACATCCGGTAAAAGTAAGTGTTTTTATATATGCCTTTCGTAGCCGGTACTGATGGGCATTCGTTGTGCACAATCTCATATGTGAAGGAACAGAAGCCCAAGCTCTGAGCCGCTAGTAACAAAGAAAAACAAGTGAACTTCACACGTGCAGACACATTTATCAGACACATATAAATTCAGCAGGTGATTGTGCTACTGTAACCAGCGGTAGTGTAACCACTGAGCTGATTCCACACCGCCAGTTTGACGTGTAAGGAATGTATTGCTAAGCTACATCTGTTTATCTTGTGTAATTTATTAATGGCCTTATACCATTAGTACCTACTAGTTTTACTCTCCTTTACTCAACTCACCTTGGCTCGGTTTTGGTTCTTTTGTTTTACAAGTCCAACTGAAATGGGTCAGATTTCCTTCTGCAAACCAAGCTTTCAATGTGCCTAAATAGGAACAAATGGCCTGTAAGAAAGGGTCTATTGCACCACACTATTACACCATCCCCAACAATAGACTTGAAGGAACCGGACTGTAATCTTTCTTAATCCAACTCCACAAAATACATGTGTGAAATTTCCAGGTATCCTTTAATGAAGAATATGGGGGAAAGCAAACATAATAAAATGAATTATTTTTCTCCTATTGTGGATGAGGCTCACAACTTCTCCTGACAGAAATCTATTATAGTGATTTTATTCTATTTTGTTTGTATATTTCATCAGTTAAATAGCACAAAAAGCACATCACTTCATCTAGCCAACACACTCCACACACACCAAACTAAATTCTATAAGCCCGTATATTTCTTCTGATTTATTTCCACTAGTCATTCAGTTAAAAATGAGAAATGTGAGCATGTGTGTGCATAAATACGTATTCTCTCCTCAGAGATGCTGCAGTAAGCCCATCACGTATGCCGCTAACTCAATAATCCACCAAGATGACAACAATCAATCAAAAATAAAAAAGCCTCTGCCCACTCAAACACACATGCAGGCCCACACCACCACACAATACCCACATGGTACAATTAGCCCACAACTCATAGGAAGCAAGTTACTGGAGAGTGGGGCGGAATTTGATCAAAAGATACTGACGCTCTTCCAGGAATAGCGAGCCGGCTTCATAACGGCCCGTAAAAGCCTCCAACCGACCTCCGGCAAGCACAAATGACTCCCTCTAGAGTGACGGAATCTCTCAGAGTGTGTTTCCAGTGTGTATACGTGGACAAGTTTACTGCCCACAAATATGACTCCTCCCACCGCAACTACTGAGCAATTAAGGGACATTTATGCAACAAGATGCAACAAGCATCTTTTACTCATCCATTTTTGCCCATCCTTAGCCATATTTCCTCTCACTGTAGATGTTTTTTTATAGACCTGCATAACAACATCTGCTTTCTCCTCCAGTTCTGTGATACAAGAATAGGATAAAAAAAGCTTAATTCTTCTTTCTCTGATGTTAGCTGGTGTGGATACTCAGACATGTATGATGGAACACGAATGCGCACTTTTTATATGAATAAATGTCAATCCAAATCTATCAAAGTCCCAAAACATTTCAAACATCCCAATTTTCCATCAGAAAGAAGCAGGTGCCTGTACGAGGGACGAGATAATCAGAGTGCAAGTGTCTAGAAAACAAACAATCCTTTGCTTTGAATCAGTATCCAACCTAGATTTCAGACAGAGACCAAAAATGCTGCAGACTCTGTTGCCAGGAGTTTGTGATATGCAGTTAGGAAAAGGTTTTTGATGGGATGTTAGTGTGTGATTCTTCCCTGGGGAGAGAGGATAGAGGTGACCCTCTCCTTTCCGCACCTCTCCACCTTAGCCTCCAGATACTATAAATCACATCAGTGTTTCTCTCTTTCTGCGTGTCTTCTGTGAAATTTCTGCAGGTTATATATTACAGGATGTGTCATCAGGATATGTGGAAGTGAGTGTCTGTGTTTGTGTGCACACGTGTGCACACCAGTTCTATTTGACTCTAGGCTGCATGAGTCAGTATCAACGGGGCTACGCTCTTTAACTTTGATGAGTGGCAGAGCATGTAAAGGGTGAATGGAAACAACTAGATTCCCTGTTCGTTGGCTTTCTATCGCTTCATTAAAGGGATT